TTATTTATTTATTTATTTATTTATTTATTTATTTATTTATTTATTTATTATCTTTAAACTTTTTCTAGGCTCTGAGAATACAAAAATTGACAGGACAGGTCTTTCTAGATAGGCATATAATTACCTGGTACCTAATAGAATGTAATCTTTTGTATCTCTTTTGGTGAGAGAAAGTCGACAAAATTGCCAAGTAGTGTTTCATTCAGTAACACATTTCAGTGTCAAGTACATTACTGGATACTGTGTTTGGCACTGGGAATGCCATGGTGAATTAAAAAAAGGGTTCACATCTTCATTGGGTTTACTCTTGCTAGTGATTTTTTTTCTTACTGCTATGTTTTTAATACTTGCTTGAGAAATACCATTTCCTGAGAAAGCAGAAGATGGAGCTCCTTGCACTTTTTCACATTGACAACAATCTTACGATATTTAACCAACTCTTGGCAAAGAGAAAAATTAGAAAAGATAATGGAAAGCTTCTTCGAGATGTTAATTTTAGGAGTTTTGTGTGTTTTGGTCTCTGCATCAATCTGTAAGCAATAAATAAGATCGTTCAAATTAGAATTTTTCATTGTAAAAGAGTTGCAAATGTCAACAAATTAAGATATATGCTGCTGGACTAAGCACTTTAGTTTTTCAGGCCATTAAGTGAACATCAGAATATTACAAATTTCAGCAAATTAAAAATTTAGCACAATTATAAAAAGATTTCTAAAGGTGTGTAACATGAATACATTGAATGAATGAATCATTTACAGGCCAGAAACCATAGTAGAGCCAAAAACCATGAAACACATTTCAAATAATGGTTTATCACCACTTTTTAAAAATCCTACTTAGATAAACCTGTATTTGCTCTAGCAGTTTTTATTAGAATATATTTCAAATGCTCACGTGCACAATTTAATAATTTATAACAGAAACAGAACAATTCTTTCTTTATCTTATCAGCAATTACATAAGCTAAGACAAACAGCTGTGAAAATGAATGTATTTAAGTTTGTGAAAATGTACATAGCTATTTTTCTAAGGGAGGTGGGAAGTGGCATCTAGGGAGAAATGACAAGATAATAAACTAAAAAATGTCTCATTCTTATTTTGCTTAGATGTAGCTTTAGTTAAATGTTAGGTAAAACATACCATTTTAAAATAAAATGGTTACTTTCCAAATTTTTAAAATTATTTTTGAAAGTTATATATGTAATAGTCTTAAAAGTCAAAAAGTTTATATAAAAACAGGACAGTTCCCTGATCTAGCCCTCCACACTTTTTTTACCTTCTCAATTAAAAAGCATTTATTAAAAATTAAATGTATTGGTATAACATTGGTTAATAACATTAATTTTTCTCCACAGTCTTGAGTCATGTTCCTTAGAAGCAGTCCATTCAACCTCTAGATATTCTTTAGCTCCTTATTTTGTATTTCTGAGTAATGTGATTACACTCTGATTTCTTCATTAAAAAATTGTAGAGGCATTCCTCCCCTTGGTCTTGGAAGTCTGTGCGAGAGACCAGAGGCGACAACAGCAGCAAGCGGGTTCCTGTGGCTTAGAAAAATCCAGCAAAAATGTCTCTGTACCAGTCTCTTGAAGACCTGAAGGTAGACAAAGCAATTCAGGCTCAAAATGCCTTTTCTTCAATCCCTGCCAACCCAGCAATTTTGTCTGAAGCTTTTGTTCTCATCTCTCAAAATGGAAATCTTTATCCTATAATTGTATCTGGAACTCTCTCAGTACATAGTCCTGAGTTTAAATGAAGACAAAATATATACAAATACGGCCATAGACCCTGGAGCGCCAACTCAGGAGTTGGTAGCAAGACCTTTCCGTATGAACTATATGGTGGCTCCTGTAACTGGTAATGATGTTGTATTCATAGAGCAGGAATTAAGCAAGGGATTCATGAAATCATTTTGTGTAAGGATCGAGATGGAAAAATTGGGCTTCAGCTTAAATCAGTAGATAATGGTATATTTGTTCAGCTAGTTTAGGTGAATTCTCCAGCCTCATTAGTTGGTCTGAGATATGGGGACCAAGTACTCCAGATCAATGGAGAAAACTGTGCAGGCTAAAGCTCTGATAAATCACACAGAGTGCTCTAATGAGTTTTTGGAGAGATTACCATGACTTTTCGTGACCAGCCTTTTGAACGTACAATTACTATGCATAAGGATAGTACTAGACATGTTGATTTTATCTTTAAAAATGGAAAAATAACATCCATGGTAAAAGATAGCTCTGCAGCCAAAAACGGTCTTCTCACAGAACATGTCTGTGAAATTAATGGACAGAATGTCATTGAATTGAAGGACTCTAAAATTGCCAACATACTGTTGACATCTGGGACTGGAGTTACTACTACAATCATGCCTGCTTTTATCTTTGAACATATTATTAAATGGATAGTACCAAGCATTGTGAAAAGCCTAATGGACCACACCATTCCTGAGGTTTAATAGTCATGGCAAAATGGAAACTTCGCTGAACTTCTCTAGCTTACTTTTTAAAGTATAAACTATAAAGTATGAAATGTAAACTTAACTTTATACTATGCACAGGAAGATTTGTAGGAGCCAGAGAGCATATACTGCATGAGGACCTTTCTATGTTACATGATGGCTGGGAATCTTATTGTTTGATCTGATACCTTGTTCAGACTTCAAGATAGTTGTAGCTGTATCCTGGTTTTACATATGTGAAATTTTGAAAAGATTTATGAACTTTTATAGAATAGTTTCTCTACTGGAAACCTGATATTTTTACAAGCCATTATGATTAGAATGCCTGATGCAGGCTTAGCTTTGTATTAAAACCAGTCATCTTTATCCTAGGTATCAAGTAGTTTAGTTCTACAGTATATTTGCATTTTTACTGGGCTACCATAGTACTTTTAGAATGATTGCTTTTAATATATCTATCTATCTATAACTACATACAGAAAGAGAAGCAAGCAAACAAACATAGATATAGATATAGATAGATATATATATAGATATATATATGTTTGTTTGCTTGCTTCTCTTTCTGTATGTAGTGTGTCTGTAAAACACCAGTTAAATAACACTGGTTTCATTCCACTTAAGCATTATACAGTGTATGTAGGTTGCAAGAGATTGTTTTATAGTTAAATTTTAACTACCTCCAGTTAATATGATTGAACTATCACCTTAACTATATTAAGCATCTAGAATAAAAGCCAAAAAATTTGTAGATATTGTTTATTGATTTATTCCCTTGGAAGATGAAGATTTAATTCTTTTATGTCACATTATTTTTCCTATTCTTGCTCCCGGCTCCCAATTATTTCAAAATGTTAAATTAAATAAAGTGCTCAAAATTTAAAGCATTACCATTATGTAAAATTATTCACAGTAAGTCAGGTACTTTATGTGACTGTGATCATATTTCTTTTCTTGTTAAAGTTTTTGTTTTTCCTGGAATTAACAATGGCCCCATCATTTTATTTGCTTAACTATTCATCTATCAGTAACTCAGCCACAGACTTACCAGTATGGTCAACCATATTGTTACCTCTCAGACCTATTTAAATCTTGGGTACATCCTTCCTGGAACACTCAGTTTTC